CACCCAAAGATTCTTCCCCGCCTGCACACGGTTCTTGTTGCATACTAATAAACAAGGGCTTCACAAAGAGATTCTGGCAAATGCAGAATTCCTACTTGTGCAGGGAAGCGTTTGATGTGTATGAATAAGTATAGCAAGGCACCTGGAAGCACCTCTCTTATTTTATTCTGAATCTGCAGCTATCTCCATTCAGAAAGGAGTGAAACTGGATTGTATTCAGGACCTACTTCTTTTCAATATCTAGGCAACTCAGTGATCCCCAGCTTAATCAAAGCAGAATTGTACGCTTCCTATTTCAGGTTGGCCTTCAAAGAAGTCTATGGGCCCTTATGGATCAGTGTAGGGGAAAAGGCTCACTATACTATTATAAAACCAAAATCGTGGATTTCTCAAAGGCACTTAGATCCCACAAACATCAATGGCAGATGCACAATAATAATAGAGACCAGGTATATCCTCTAAATTTCTTGGCATTGTACTCCATCCATCTGGAATCTGGTACAAACAAATTGAACTTATTTCTAACAAGGTCAACAACAGTGCTAAGGCCATATTTCCCTTTTTTATTCCAAAAGAGGTAAGAACATCCCCACTGCCGTCAAATTCCTTAAAGCCAAATCCTACTCCCAGGTGTTACATGGCTCTTAAAACGCTTAGATATTATCCAGTCCATATTCCTAACAAAGCTATTCCAAGTATCTTGCTGCATTTGGAATGCAGGACTTTATTTAGAAACTGGGATGATCCCTCTGGAATCTGGAGTCTGAATATGCTGTCTCTCTTCCTGACTCACGCTTTGCTCTCCCAGCATCTCCCTGGCTGTCATGATCTGCTTGGTGATTTTTTCTCTTTCCAGAAAGCCAAATTCAGAATGATCTACGTCATTGTGTCATCTTGGGTTCAACCTTCCTGGCTTGATGCTACTAAGAGCCACAGTCCAGCTGCAGGTGGTTAACATAGCTCTCCAGGTAGAGTAGGGCAAATTAGATCATCTCTATTGGCAGAAGTTAAACTGGAAAGCTTTCATGCCAGCAAATTACCTATTCAATATTACTTGCCGAACACACTGTAGAGCTTTTTGTTGAGCCTGCATTAATGTCTTGCCCTCTGCAATATTGGAGGGCAGGTAGAACAAAGCCCCCTTCTGCAGCACAGACCTGTTCCTGTGACTTGGAGGAACCTGAGACTGTAGCCCACATGTTCCTTCGATGTCCTTTCTACAGCAGCTTGTGACCTACCCTCATAACTCAGTTTGCTAACAGAAGTTCCACCTGTTCTGAGGACAATCTCGTTGGCTTGTTACTGTTGGGGTGAAACTTTCCAGGAGAATCACAACTTTTCTGTCAACTGTCATTGCTTTACACAGAAAAATAGTCTCCTAATTTTAGGGTCTCACATATACATATAATCTCACACACATTTAATGCTTTTTATGCTGTTTTATGTTTTCCCAGATCTCAGTAGGTTTATATATGTGTTATTAGTTAGTATTATTAGTTTAGCACTTGGTTGGTTAATATTTTGTTCATAAAATAGTTTATAATCTAGTTAATTAGTTTTAAGTATTTTGATGTTTAATATTATACCATTTATATTTATAGTGTTTAGCACTCTGAAGCATTCATCTACTTCTATGAATCTTCTAGAAAATGGTTATGTATCTTAATTTGAGTCTTGTACCTTCTTACAAAAATTGTATGAAATGCTGGAAATGGTGCAATAAAGTACCACTTTCCTTCCTGAATAGCTTTTTTGTAACATTAAATTTGAAGTTTTTTTTTAATACAGAAGGGAATATTTCAGAAGAAATAGAAAGTCTCCTCTGACACGCTGTCACCCACAATAACACAAACCATGGCTTTCAAGTATATATTTTTTAAATTTCTTAGCCATTCCTGAAAGAATACAGTGGTCTTTCTAAGCTTTAAAGGTGGCACTTCTGGTCTTCTTACTTTTGACCCAGCAGGCAAAAGGTTTGTCATCTTTCAAAAGGGGGCGGGGGGGACAACACCTAGAAAGCATGTAGTTTAAAGCTGTGATTGAAAAAAGGAAAGGGTCTCTTCCATCATTTCATTTTTTCTGCCATTAAGAGATCTGAAGTTCTTGAAGAGAAAAATGTGGCAAACAGCTTTCAGTTTCCCAGACAAATATTCCTTTATGCAACAGTTTGTCCAAAAGACTTCCCTTCTATAGATAGAAGGGTATAGACCTGGGATGTGGTTCACATCAGTAATTACTAAGGGCATACATAGATGAGGTAATAGCTGTCTTGGGTAGCTATTTGGGATGGGGGTTATTGAGAGCATCAGAGTTGGACAAGGTCTACTGATGTGCTATCCCTTAAGAAGTTCTCCAGAACAAGGGAGTGGCTTGGGGTCTGGCAATTTATGGGACCGTCTCTCCCCGGTTGTCTCTCCCCGTCCCATCCAATCCAGCAGAAGGGGCATATTCCAAGTTCTGTCTGTTAAGGAATGTCAACTAACGGGACCCAGAAGGAGAGCCTTTTCTGCTGTGGCACCTGCTCTCTGGAATATCATCCCTCTGGAGATCAGATTGGCCCCAGCCCTGTTGGCCTTCCCTAAGGCCTTGAAGATTTGGCTCTGTGCTCAAGCCTGGGCCCCAGGGGTGTGACGGAGCCTGTTTCTTCCTTGTGCTGTATGATTGATGTTTCTGTCATTTCTTTCCCTGTCTGCTGTGTTTGTGTGTGTGTGTGTGTGTGTGTGCGTTTATCATTTTTAATATTGTTAGCCACCTAGAATCAAGTATATAAGATGGGCAGCCATATAAATCTAATAAAATAAATAAATGAATAATAAAGGCATAGTAGATGCTGGCTGTGCAACCCTTATTAGTGGATGGAGGAAACACATGTTTTACATTTTCTGATGCAGATGCTGGTATATCTTCTATCCCTTCTCTTGGGATTATGTGAGATTGTTTTTTGAAATTCCTTCTACAGCCTACACTTTCTTCCCTGATTCATTTCTTTGGTATAACGTGAACCTATAGCTCTGAGAGGTTCAGCAAAGGTGGCTAGGAATGACCTGTTGTTCTGGGCCCCCAAGATTTTTGATGAAGTCCATCTCCAAAGAATTCTAAACCAAATTATGGGATAACTGGAAGGCATTCTCACAATGGAGAGATATAATGGTAAGTTCCTGCAAAGATATGTATTCAAACAGGTGCTTTTTTAAACTGTTCATTAATTATCTAGATCAAAGAATGGGCAGAGAGGAAGCTAGTAATTTGAGGCATCAGATTGTTCAGGGCTCTTCTCCACTCTTGAGTTAACATGTCCTCCATGTATCCTGGAGGGCCAGAAAAAGATAGCAACTTGAAATGTGCTACCCCAACTGCCAATCCCTATTCTGCCTCCATCGCTTCTGTTTCCAGTAACTGCAGTCCCTGATTTCCCTGCAAGGTAATGTGTGAACAAAGCCCAACAGATTTTACACATTCCCTTGGATAGTGTCAAAAAAGAAAGGAAAGATTACTTTAATACCAGTAGAGCTAAGAATGTCTTAAGCATGTCTCATTCATAGACTGAGATGAAGGCAACATCATGGAACCACAGCAGAAGAAAGAGGTGGTCAGGTTGTGTTTGCGCTGTGGGCTAGATCCAAGTGGGGAAAAGCTCTCAGAATTATAAAAAGGAAGAGAAAAGAGCAAATATCTCCTAGTTGTGATAATAGGAATCAATCCTGCAAATGTATCATTCTCAACCTTTGGAAGATCTGAAAGACCAGGCTGAAAATAGATCTCGGGAAAATCTATCTATGTTGCCCCTAAAAGTCAGCACGGACTTGATACGATATAATCAATCAATCAATCAGCTCATTCTCACATATCTAATGTCACACATGTTGAGTCTACGTTTGTGGAAACCTGTCAGATAAGAGCTCTTGAGCTTGTGATTACGGTGATCACACTCAGAATTCTGCACAATTCTCAGGGAAACTATTGTAGTGTTGGAGAAGATGCATAAGAGATGCATAAAAGGACCATCAAAATGATGAATAGCTTGGAACAATTCCCCAGGGTTATAACCAGTGGCACTTTTAAGCTGAGAAGAAAGGGCGTGTCTAAGAGACAACTTGATAAAGATGTATAAAATTATTCATCATGTCATGAAAGTAGACGAAGGCTTTTTTTCTTCCTTTGTCATAATAGCAACATTGAGGGTCATCCAATGTTGCTAAATGGTTGTTGATTCGGGAAAGACAAAAGGAAGTACTTTATCACATACCATATACATAAATTACTGTACTTGCTTCCAAAAGAAGGAATAATAGCTGACTTTAATAGCTTTAAAAGCAGATGAAACAAATTCATAAAGGAAATAGCCTGTCAATAGCTATTAGTGTCAGGAGGCCCATATATAACTTCAAAATTTTCAGGCAAGAAGAACGTTTAACAAATGGAATGTATCAATTTAGCACTGACTGTATTTGTTTATTCAGCCTTTTTTAATGGTATTTATGCCAGATTATTTTCTGACGTAATGTGCATATCAATTTCATTCCTTCTCTTGGCTCTAATCTATACTGGCTTCCTTAATCTGGCCACTTCAGGATATGTTGGGCAATACCCAGAATTGCCACCTAATAGAACTAAGGGTTGTGTTGGCACCAAATTCTGAATTTCAACATGACAAAAGGCTGTTTTCAATCAAACCTGGGAGGCCTTGGTACCATAATCCAAAGCACATCTATTAAACACATAAAAATAATCCATCACCAGGATCCATCAAAGTATTCTGATCTTTAAGGCTCTTTTTCTCAATCACTGCAGGGAAGCTTGGAGAAGACCATGGCATGAATTGGTGGTTTTTGGGGACAACATCACAATATAGATCCTTGATTCAGCACCTATGGATTTAAGAAACTATCCTTTTTTGTTCTTTACTCGACACATTGGGAAAGGAAACTAGGCCAACTCCCTTTCCTACATCCACTCCCAGCCCCTAATGTTTCCATTTAACAATTTTATAAATTGCTTACCAGGTGGGAAGTAGGGTATGTTGACGCTCTGGTTTCGAGCCGCTTCGCACTCCTGCAATTTAGCCCGCAGAGCTGCAACTTCTCGTCGAACCGCAAGGATGTTATTCTTATCCAACAGTTCCACTTCATTCACCAGGGCACTCAAATTCCTAATCTGGGTAAAATGATAAGGTAGAAGTGACTTTTGATTACTTTCAAGGTTTCAGATGTCTGGTAGTTGCTGAGCAAGTTCCTTCTGCTTTTGTAAATCACTGGGTTTATTATTTGATTCATTTGTTTGACTATGGGTTCTCTTATCTGGTATTATCAGGCTGCAGATACCACCACCTAGGCAATCTTGGCTGATCTTGAAAAAGCTAAGCAGGATCAGAACTGAGAAGGACTTGCATGGGAGGCCACCAGAAATACCAGGCCCATAGGCTAGATTGGGAAATTAATCAAAGGTCTAGAACAAAGCCTTGGAAAACCATTTGCGTATTGTTACCAAGAAAACAACACAAATGAATCTATGTAGTCTCCACAAGTTGAGCTGGACTCAAGGGAAACCTTAACTTTCTTTCACAAAGGCATATTTTCTAAGTTGAAAGTTGCCTTGAAAAATCTACACAGTAAGTCTTTTGCATGTATTCAACTCTAAATTCTTTTGATTCTGTTTGTGTTATTTTCGTACGTATTTTAATCTGCTGAACATACTTTTTGCACATATGTTTCTTCTCTTGCAGTATTTTTACAATATTGGCAGAACAAGCACTGCATCTCAATCATATGTACATCCAGGAAGTGTGAACCAAACTACTATTCTTAATGTGCAGATTCCACAAAACCTCAAACATCATAGTGAGCATGAGACAATATGGGATATTACCTCTCTGTGAACAGTTCCCAATTTCTTGCACAATATCAGCAGCAGAAAGTTATGGCAAACTGCTTCCGTATTGTTTCAGAGAAAACTGTCCATTAAGACACCAGGAGCTTTATTTACCTGGGCAAATGTCCCCTGGATGCTCTTTCATATACACCTACATGATTTGGATCCCTGTTCCTTGTGTTCTTTCTTCCTGACCCCAGCTGTTCTGGACTTTTTCACACCTGTTATCTCTCCACCAATTCCCACCAACTTTGGCATCTTTTATTTCCCCTTTCCTTTATTTTTTAAAAATATTTGGGGTGTTGCAGGCCAAGCTGCAGTCATATCTGGTATCTTGTTTTCTTGAGAAGGCTTCTAAGGGAAGAAATGGAGGAGGAGGGGAGCAGGACTGTGGCTGATTGAAAATGAAAAGGAAATCTGTGTCTTGCTGAAGTTGGGGGCCTCTATAGTCTGCAAGACTGTGGATTTTTTCTAAGCCATTCATGGAAACCTGGTCTGAGACAATGGCTATTCTGGTGGGTATTGATGTTGGAATACTGTGGTATGACATATTGCTAGTGGTAAAGGAGTGCGTAACCCCCTTTCCTGTTTTGGATCTAGCTTCTATTTTCATGATTGGCCCAGCTTTTAATTAGTGCCCCGTTGTTTCATTTATTTTTACTCTTCTTTTTAGTGTCCACCATTGCCCAGATAGGATTTCCAATCTTTGCCTTCTATGAAGGCCAGTATAAAACTGGCCTGGAGCAAATGAAAAGAAAGGGCTATATCATAACTCCTGATTATTGTTTCAGAAGCTTCAGGCAATCCCCTTAAAGTCAGGGGAGATTTGATCAGAGCAAAATGTAGGTCTAAGGAAAGTTTTTACCTCTACAAACAACTGGTCTATGATCACATTGCTTCCAGTAAGTGACGTCTTCAGCTGAGTGACCAGCTTCTCCATTTCCTTGATTTCAAGTTTGATTAATTGGAAATCCAACTCCGTGTAAGATACGCTGGTCTTCTCCATCTGTTCAATCCTGATGGTTAAATTTAGAATCCTTTCTTCGTATAGTGCAATTGCTTTGGTGTACTGGCTAACCTATAAATGTGTAGAGAAATGCATTCCATTTTAGCCAATGTCTTGAAGATGCTTTTTAAAAGATAAGTTTTGTCTCTCTGGAATCTCACAGCAATCAAAATATGATTACAGCAACTGAGCACAGAAGCTTATCTAACACCGCCTTTATTTATAGACTAAAATTCATAGCAAAGTTTACAGATAAAAGACACAGATAAAGTAAAATATCTGTAGAATAGGAAAAGTGTTATCATTGATCAGAAACATTCTTCGTGGGTTTTTTAATTGAATGCAACAAAAAGTACATCAGACTGCAGCAAAATGACCCAGAATTTTTATCCAGACCCTCCTCTGTTTTTGTTTTTGTTTTTAGTTAATCTGATGAAATCATCTCAGAATTATTTCCAACTAAATGCAAGAATTGACTAGTGCTTTTAGGAAGAACTACTTCTGCATAATGATATCATGATGTATTACACTCAGGCAACTGGCCATGAAATCTACAGTACAGCTCTACATCTCCACGACGTTCGGGTCAACAACTTGACATGCAGCCTGAAGGATGGTACACCACTGTGCAGCAGGTACACTGCTGTGCAGTTGATCAAAGGGCACCCAAAGCACAGCTGGTCCAAGAGGTTTTGCTGGATGAGATGAGGAACTGAACGATAGCTCTTTCTATTCCATGCTCAGAAACTGGCTGGAATGGCAGCCAAATCGTTTTTCAGTTCCATAGATGTTACCTAGCCGGGTAACAAAATGTTTGCAAGAATACAACCAAGCTCAGAGAACCCCAAGGACGGCACAGTTCAGCCCTCAACAGCTCAGAGAACCCTGAGCTACACATATTCCCTTCTATTGGCGATTCCACTCCAGCAGCTCTCTTTGGAAATAAAGAGCAGTGTGCATTGCGTAGATCTTTGGGGCCCCACTGACACGTTTCAGCATCTGCTGCCTTGGACAACTGCCACATTATGCCTAATGCTAAGGCTGGCCCTGATCCAGAGCCTTCACCCTGTTTGCCAATTTTAGGGGCCAGAGTTATAAGTGCAGGCCAGTTTCTGCATCTGAATGAGATTCTGAGATCTGAGAATCTTTCCCAAGTCTGCCAGTTTTGCCCCCCTTCAAACTTTGTGGCACTGTGTGGTTCTCTGGAAATGTCCCACCTTCTCCATCACCACCACCACCTTGAACTAGCTAGTGCTCCCTCCCGCTGGCCAACTGAGCAGCATTAAAGATTGTAACTAGCTGGTGCCCGCCCCTTTCTTGTCCTCCTGCCATGCTTTTAAGTGGCATGACAAAGCAAGTAAGGAACAACAAAAAGGTACTATCCAGGTTACTCTGGCTCCAGGAAGGGAGGAGAAACTTCAGAAGACAAGTTGCAGCACTAGAGAAAAGTTTTGGCTAATGGGGAAGAGTTCCCCATCTCAAGGAGGTTTCCTGCCTCTCATATGTTAATGCCCCTTCTTCCCAGGAATGGAGGAAAGACAAACTGTGATCTACAGACAGCCCATTTAGGGCTTGCTGGTTGCTAAATTCTTGCCTCCAGGGCTAGATTTGGCTAGATAGACCTTTGTGTGTCTCCTGAATGAACTGAAACTGGCAAGGGAAGATAGAATTAAGTGCTGAAATTTCCGTGTTATAATATTTCACAATTATTTTGTATTTTTAGATTTCATGTGTGTTTTGATTTTTACTGAACAAATCAAATTTACATATATTTGTATCATAATCT